AAATGCTTAATTAAAAGACGCTTCGCACATTAACCCAGTACATTTATCTAGAGAATTGTTTTTTGCTCGTTTGGATGACCAAACCGTGATTAATTGTGCAATGCAAGAGCTTGATTGTTAAGCAGAATTGTAAAACAATTTAATCTTCAACAATTTTATGGGACTTTTACATTGAAATTTTACATACATATTAATGGATACTGAATTGATTTTTTGAAAAGATTATTAAGCAAGTGAAAAATCAATTGGTTGGAGATAATAAGTATGGAATAAAGAAAATTTTTAAAAGTATGATTTAAATATGTCGTTGAATACTTTTTCCTCAGCCAACTTGGACTTTCTTATGAGTTCCTATACGCTAAATACCATGAAACTTGTGCTTACTTTTATTCTTTAAGACTTCAAAATCGGAGTATCCAAGGAATTCCTTTTGAAATTTCCAAGAAATTGTAAGATTGCAGGTAAAAGAATTGATTTTCACTTTTTAAAGATATTTTAGGTTGCAATCCATAGATAATGATTTTGAAAATGCAATACATACCTTGCGTGTCTTCATCAATAGATATGTCTTCAAGGTCCTTTGTTTCTAGAAATTTTTGAATTATTTTAATAGATGTCCAACCCTGCAAAAGATTTAAAGAATGGAATGAATAACGTTTGCAACTGGAAATAATATGCTTTGTTTGAGTAGTACTTCAAAATTTTTAACCTGGATAAAATGAGCTAGAAGTTGCAAAATATTTCTGAAAGGTATTCTTATCAACCATATTAAATAAAATGAAACGAATACTGTTTTTGCGTCTATTTCATTTCCCATTAGTATGTAAGCACTAAACGTTGTTAGCAGTACCTAGATTGGTAAAGAAAACAAAAATATAGTTAATTGAAACAATATATATATTTCTTCAATTACATTACACATTATAAATATATTAAGAAGTTTACGGTAATATTTCAGTAAAGTATTGATTTTAAATAATTTCTAAGTGTAATACACTATTTCTAATTGTAGTAGTAGTATTGTATAATTTTTTGTTTTTCTTGTATTAAAATAAAATGAAGAATAAATCATAAGAAGTTAAATGAACCACATAGTATTTGGTAATCAAAATTTAAAGCAGTTAAAAAAAAACAACCGAAAGCTCACCAAAGAAAATGCCGAAAGAATAAGAAATCGAAAAGTCATTCTTAAGAATTCTCCTTTTCTTATTTCAGACATTTCTGACTTTCGAATGGGCATAATCCTTTCAGAAAAATAGTCTTCCCAGGCATAAAACTTAAGAACCTGAATGAAACAATTTTTTTTTCTTTTGTTAAAAAAACTTTCATTCACTTATACAGTATGCAATAATAATCAATATACAATTATGATTATATGCAATATACAATTATGATCTCGTTAATTGCTTACTTTGATTCCTTGTAAGAATTCCGTGAGTATACCAATCCTTTCGCGCTTTTTACTAAATCCTTTTTTCTAAAAAATAAATAAATAAAAAGCTTATTTATTTCCATGTCCAAATAATATTTAGTACATGTCCGTATTAATTTCTTTGAATTTTTTTTAATTACTTCGTGTTTGTTAATTATTACAATCACTTTATACAGATTCCTTAAGTGCTAGAATATTATGTAAGTTTAACCTTTCATTTTGTTCAACATTCAGAACTGAAGAACACACCAACAATATTTTAGTACTGATATTTTTATTTGAATGCGAAGCAGCGAATATTTAATATGTAGGACTTCTTCATTGTGAGAACTAAATTTAAAAACTGAAAAACTATTTGAGCGGAAAATTCCCTTGCTTATTTTAGTGATGGGCACGGTGAATCCCTCTATTGGGTTTAAGATAAAACAAGTAATATAAAAAAAAAATTTTAAGTCAATTCCTACTTTTTTTCCACTATATTACAGAAAAGTCCTTTACAAATAATTTTCATTATTTTTCTTAAAGTTTATCTGGAGTCATCTATTGGTAAATATATGCAACTTAAATCTAAAATTAAAAACTAAAATTAATTAATTAAATTTAATTACTGAATTAATATTTGAAAAAACTGTATTAACATCGAGTGTCATCCACTACAAGTTAAAAAAATGTATTTGAATTTCAGTGGATGAATAAAAAGTATTTTATTAACGATTGAAAATTTGAACAAGATATATATAGGGAAAGTGTGAGCTAATAGAAGGAATTGAAAAATAGAGATGTGATCCTCCACCCCAGATACCTCCTCTGAGGGTGTTCATTCCAAATTACTGTGGCTCAGAAGTGGGTGTAATATAATATCCTCGCCATCCTAATGATACTCTAAGCAACGAATTATATATTAAATAATTAAAAAAAATAGGAAACATCAATTTTAAGATTATTATTGGAATATACATAAAAATATTCGTACAATGTATTTTACTCTAAGAAAATTTTTTTTAAAAACAAAATCGATGTTTCCATGTCTAAAATATAATTGTAAACCCTAATATATCGTTATTGAGAAAATAGTCAAAACTTAACATTAGAAATAATTCTCCGAAATTAATAAACATCTGATGAAAAGCAATGTGTATTAATGCAAGCTATCTGTTAAAAACAAAAACCCAAGATAAAGCTACAATTTTTGCAGAATTAAAGTTACGTAAGGATTATGAAGACCTAACATATTTTCTTCTGATTATCGACAGCTATCTTAAGAATTGCAACTATGCTGCATATAATAAACTAATTCTTCTTTGTGTAGGTTTTTCTTAAGTTACGATGGTAATACGAGTAATTAACGTACGTCCTGTATCCAAGTCGTCGGTTGCTATGCTGGAAATATGTTTAGGGAATGTTATTCGTTGGACGTAAATGTCATTTCGCATTTTTTCGTTTTCAAAAGAGTAATTTCATTAGACATTTACCGTCGCATTTCTTTCCTTTCTACAGAGGAAGTAATTATATAAAGAGAGAATGCATTATTTTACAGTTTAGCGTGAAGAGTGTTGGAAATTTGGGGTACATTTTTATCTTATATTAGAAGCCTTAATAGTCTCTCTTTATCTCGAGAATTTATTAAAACATTCCTACACATACAAATAAATACTTGAGTTTATTTTTGTGTAAATGGTAAAATTATTTTAGCATGAATTACAGTGAAGAAATAAATTATTATTTTCTGTACAATGTAATTTATTCGAAGACAAGAAAATTGTTTGGTGATCATAATAAGATGAAATATTATTATTATTATTATTATTATATAATTGTATAATACAGCGAAAGAAGATTCAACATATAATAGCAGAAATTTCTCATTCATTACTCGGTAACGTAACGTAACGGCTGATGACCGGGGGTATATGTACCTATCTGTACCTACGAGGGACCCTGTACCTACGTATCATAAATTATATTTTAAAAGTTACATAATCATAGAAGTACAAAATATTAAACATTATTAAAGAAGAAAATTATATAAAGCACTTGCTCTGTAAATCGTTACTCACTATATGTGAAACACTTTTAAATTACTTAAAAAAAATTAGTGGTATATCATTTTTTTAAAATAATACCTATTAACTATATATTCGTTATCTGTTGATATAATGATTAGTGTTATTAAAACAAACAATAATATTTACCTGGAAATATCCAGTACCATGTTCCACTATAACATTAATAGGGATAAGAATCATTCCAGTTGCGATTCCGACGAAACAAGAAGGCCCAAGAAAATACCAGAGAATATAAGTTCCAATAAGAAAACGTATTGGAGCTCCCCATATTTCACTCAAGACACAGATCATTTGGAAGACATTATCAGATTCTGTAGTCATAAGCATCTTTATGTGTTTTGATTGTTTGGACACCATTAGAGCCTAAAATGTGAGAAATGGTAAACTTTCTAGATATTGAGGTTAGTGAGCGAAGTGAATGGAATTATACCTTAAGCCTTCATATGTATTGAAATCTTTGATGAAAATTTCACATCTTTTTGTTTTTTATTTATCGTTGTTGACGTTCAAAAACGACTTCTTAAAGTAATTGAAGAAAGTTAAAAATCTATTGCCAGAGAGTGATGTTTGGTTAAAAGTTTTGTATTGACAGGCATATAATCAACTGTTCAAGCACATTCCATGATGCACTGTTAAGAAGCTTTTTTTTTCTATTTTTTAACAATTTTTAAGTAACATACTGTTAACTATTTTTAGTGTAAATGTCGATAGATGGCGCCACCAGCACAGAAATGTAATGAGGTGGGGCCCTACGGGGATTTCTAGGTTAGAACAATGATGGATGTAAGCAACGAAGGTTAGCGATGGCTCTAAAACGTATATTAAATGTTATTAAATATATATATTCAATTTTAAATCACTGAGAGTCGTTTTATTTAGTGAAAAGTAAGAAAATCTCCAACAATACTATGCATGCAAGCTATAAAAGAAAAGCATATAATATACATAAAAGTTGTTTATTTCTTTCTTTTAAAACTAATCTTATAAGGCAACAGAAAAAACTAACTGTACCTTCAGTAACTTCAATTAGGATTACATCCAACTTAAAGTTTCCATATATTTGAATAAATTAACTTTTATTAGAGAAGGGTTTTTTTAATTCGAAATAATTCAAGTTAACTGTTCAACATTGGTAGTTTCTCTAATACCATAGTTTAACATTTAATCTAATGAACATTCCCGATTCTCTAATTTCCCCTGATAGTTACTTCTGTTTTGTTGTTGTTGTTTCTTATCCCACTTGGCTGGCCAAGCCCACGAGCCTATACGTACTCATGATTGAAGGGGAAGGAAGCAGCTTCTGTTGTGATGGAGCACCCGTAGGTAGAAGCCTGACTTTTGCTCCGTGACGCTCTTACAGTCATAGAAGACCGGGACCTACAGCTTAAAGTGGATTCCGAACCACTACAAACATCCATGGCACCGCCGGGATTCGAACCCGAAACCTGTGGCACCGAGCGCCAGAGCACTAGACACTCGGCCATTCAGGTCCCAAATTTGCCAACGGCACGCGGTGTTCCCAGGTGGTCACCCACCCAAGTACTGACCGCGCCCAATGATGCTTGACTTCGGTGATCTAAAGAACCGGTATATTCAGCATGGTACGGCCGTTGTATTAAATAGTAAATTTAATAATGTAGTAAATTTTAATAAATAAATGAAATATTGAAACCAATTATAAATCCAATAAATTAAAATATTTATTCCTGTTTCCGAGCAAATTGTTCATTTTTACAGTTGTTTTCACTAAGTAGTTTATTTAAATCATAATGAATCATAATACATTCACAATCAGAAAAAGCTAAATCCCATTTCCTGCCTCTACTGAAGCATTAATTACTGAAAGTATTGTCATCTATTCAATATAAAAAAAAAGTACTTTTTAAAGTATATTTCTAGCTCTCAATATAATTTTAAATTTGATTTTTGTTTTTAGGAGAAAATACTAATTATAAAAAATACTAACATTATTTAATACTTTTACAAACTTAAGACCACATGAGCAAAACTAAAATATTTTCTCATTTAATGTCAGTAAATGTACTAATTTACTCATTGTTTTTAATGGAGTTAAAATACTCTTTAGTTGCTATTTGAAATGCAATTTTCGCCTTTTTTTTAATGTATACCACTATTTTCAACGTACATAAATTTCTTTTTTAAAGGTTCTTTCCTTCAAACTGTTAATCACATAATTTTATCCAATTATAAAAATGGTGCCATTCAGAAACAAGTCATATCTTATTCTGCGTAAAAGTTAACACTTTCATTTTAAGACCATGATGTCTGAATTAAAATATCAGTCATTATTAGAATAGGCCGTACCCACAAAGCGATAAGTTTGTAAAAATAACTCGCAATTTTTAAAATTAGTTTCTCATTATACGTTACACATAAGGTTAGAATAGATAAGCAATAAAACCTTTATGATTCCGGTTGAAGAATCTTACATGTACTCGTTAAAATAAATGTGGTGTATAAAAACCATTTACTCTAATAATAATTAAATTGAATTGAATAGGACTACTTAAGTAAACCTTTTCAAAGACAGCATTCATTATGGCAGTTTTGATTCTTAAAGCGCCCATTAGCCCATAATATTTTCTCTGAGAGTCGGCGAAAGAGCAAAAAACCAAAGTAATGAAAAGAGCTGCTGCATATAGATAATTGTGCCATTCCTGTCTTTCTTTCTCGTTATCCAAAAGGAGACTGCAAAGAAAAAAAAATATTATCTCATAAAGGTGGGGCGTACACGAAATTACTTAAGCAATCAAATAAAGTGATCGTAAGTATTATCAAAAGGAAAGGTTCTGTAATACCTCAGAAAGTAGACTGGTAGAAAGTAAAGTACGGTGTAGACTATTTCCAAAATTGAAGCAAGAGTCAGAAAGTTTTTTGAGATTCTTAATAGGATTGTAAATAAAGACTTTCCATTGGGATAAATGTAACTAAAATTTGTTCTGTTTCTGTTCTGAGATTCAAAGGCGGCTTCTCCGTCTATGAGATTTTCTGCTTCTTCGTTCAGGAAATGTTGTTTGCTGTAAAGAATTTTTTTAATTAATTTAATTTACTTGGCTTTATACGTGCTTTAGTACGGAATTTTCATCCCATTGAAATTGAGATTTAAGTATAAACACTCTATGTATCTTAATAGGCAGTTACTCTTTGACAGGAAAGTAATCTTTGAAATACTTAAAAAAAATTGTAGCAATTAATAAATTTTTCGATATTGCTTATTTATTATTTGAATTTAAATAAAGGATTCATGATATTTTATTTTAAATATCTCTAATATTCAAAATGCATTAGCTATTAGTTTAAAAAAAGTACAAAATCACTGCTTCAAGTGAAAAATTTGTCTTTACAATTGATTGTGAAAAATTTGAATATCAACCTGTCATTAACTAAATTTTATCGGAAATTTATTATATTTCTATTAAGTATGAGATTAGTATTACTTAATGTTCCTTTTCTTAATTAAAATACTATATGTACTATATTATATTATTAATTAAAATACTATATTTACTGTATTATATTATTAATTAAAATACTATAATACTCAATTTAACTGCTTTATTACAGGAATATATGCCTATGGAATATATAATGATGAATGTTAACGTTAAAATTTGAAGACACGAAATAATCAATCCCTGAAACAATTTCGATGCCTTAAATACAGAAAAGACTTTTTTCGTAAGAAACTGAAATTGTTTCTTAAAACGGCTTGTTGAAAACTTGTTAAAACTAAACGGCTTGTTGCTTGTTTTGAACTTGGTTTTAAAAATCGTAAAGTCAATGCTAATGGCAATTGTTTCAATACATCAATCTAATTGTACGTAAGTATTAAAATATATAATGCCCCAATATGATTATCTAAATTAAATATAAAATTTTTTATTACATATTAAGTTTCGACTAACTTTTTCAATTCTAATATTTTACTAAAATGAATTTTTTTAGAATTACTAAATCTGCGTAGAAAAAAGGATCCAAACGATGTTATCTTTGTTTTGTTCATTAAAATTTCATTATTTTTGTTCATTTTGTTCTTTTGTTTTGTTCATTTGTTTTGTTCTTAATCATATGCAGTTACTGCAATATTTCTTTAAGATCCATGACAAAATTTGTAGTAATTATGAATGCAGTGATAAAATTAAGATTTTTTAATAAAAGTATAATTTTCTATGTGTTAAAAGGTAACATATTTATTGGTACATCGAACTGTATTACTTCATGATATCATTATTTTTTGTATCGACATAAATATATAAATAAGCCATACATACTAAAATGAAAATATCTTTCGAAATGATAAGAATGATTTTATTTCATTACTAACAGCAATTTTATGTAATTTAATCAGCCCCGTGCTGATAAAAAATAAATCTGAAGATAAAAAACATTGTGATGTAAAGAATTCGTCTCTGTGAGATTTCATCTGTTATTAAAAACAATGCAACTTGAAATATGCCTTCATTCTTCAATGATAAAAATCTGCTAAATTTTAATGAAATTTTTAAAACGTATTGAAGAGATCATTTACTAATGGCTTCAGAAATAGTGCTCAAGATTTATAAGCAGCAAGTCTATTTTCGTCAAACTGTCAACAAAATTCTATTTACAGATGGAAAGATAGGAAGGCATATTTTTTATCAATTTACCTAGCTATCTGTACAAAGGATCTTGATGTTGACATCAAAATTCTACGTGAAAAAAATACTTGCAATCAACAACATTTATTTATAATAGTTGTGTTTTATTCACATAGAGTCTCAAGCGATATCCTAAAATATTAGTGCCTTATTAAAAGTATAGTAATGTGTGAATCAATTGTTAAAATTCAGTTTCTAACGTATTTTGAAAGCATTGTACTTTACTAAGAGGTTTAAACAAATAAATACCCATAACATCAAAATAATGTAACAAAAAAGACTGTAAAAAACTAAAGCCTTGAATTTAAGACTGTTAAAATAAGACTGTATAAGAATGTAGGAAACACCAACCTTAAATTTAAACAAGCCTCTTGAAAAAGTTTTACTATTCTAGAGCTTTTTAGATCTGAGCACAATGGTAGCAGATAATCTTGATGCAAACTATTCTTCAGACTTTTCTTCAGGAGCCTATGGGAATAAGAACATATGTGAAGAATGCAAGTAAAAACTAAATCTGAATTTTATAATATTAAATTAAAGAATTTTATAAAATTAAATTAAAGAATTTTATAATATTAAATTAAAGAATTTTATAATATTAAATTAAAGAATTTTATAATATTAAATTAAATAATTATATAATATTTAAAAAAATCATTATTCATTTGAATTAATTGTAAAAGAATTTTAAACAAATAATTTTAATATCAAATTTAAGAAATCCTTATTTAAGAGCATTGTTTGTTATTGTTATTGCTCTACGATAATTTTGTGCACATATTAGGCTAATTAGACGGGGACCTACAGTTTAGAACATTGTTTGAAGGGAATTTAAAAGACATATTATCCGCATTAGTGCGTAGACACATTATCCAACATAAAAATAAATCAAATCTATCAATCGAAAGTGAAAGAAATATCTATGAAGTATCACAAATAAAAAGTTTTTATACGGAATCCACAAATACATATTACCTATTCGTATACTAATAAAAAAATCATAAAATAAATATAAAACCTTTTTATCAATTGTTAGTAGATAATACTTTTTCTCTTATCATATTCTAAATATTCTAGATTTGATCTAATTTGAAAGAGGATAAGAATATTATCATAATCCAACAAGGTTATGTTTTTATTCATGGTGAACTTTTAAATAAAAATGTTTATACATTTAAGAAATAATCTATCAGTTGTTCTTGATATGTAATGAGCGTCTCTTAAGATAGATGGATACCAAGACGTAGCAGATAAAACTAAATTATATTGATTTAAATGAAAAATTAAAAAATGGATAAAAATTCAAAACATTATCTACAATTGATAAGAAAAATAGAGCTTTCTGATTCTCTTCACATTTCTACTTTCACGATTACTTTCACAACATTACATATGAGCATTATTGGCTCTGTTTTTTGCTTCAGTTGCAGGAAAGTCATAATTCGACATCAAATATAGATTATTCAACATCAATATAGATGATTCAACATCAAATATAGATTTTATAGTATTTGAAATTTAAAATTTTTTAATTAAAAAGAAAACAATAAATTTTCATTTCTACAGATTTTAAAATTTTAAGAACTTTAATTAAAAAGGGAAAACCTATTTTAAAAAATAGGTTTTTTTCTTTTTAAAAACCAAAAACTTTTTAAAAAAGGAAATAAATCTCTAAATTTTCGTTTACAAAGAATTTTAAATTTATATTTTAAAAAAATAGAACTAAATTCTAGAGAATTTAGAGAAAAAACTAAATAATATTTAAGATAATATAACATAAAGTTTAGGAAAAAAATATTTTTAGGAGCAGAGACACCTATTAAATTCATGATTCAATGTTTACATTTTTTTACAGGGCAAAGATGTTAAAACATGTCATTGATTAAGGACTCATTAGTCAGATATCTTTGCTTTTAATTAACATTTTGATTTATTGAAAGTAATAAAACTGTT